CAAAAAACAAACATCACCCAACGGTCAATACCGATTAATTAATTATTAATTTCTATTTTTTCCTAACAATTATTTCACCTGCGGTTTTGCAATCATTATCATTATTCATAAGTCTCATAATTATTGTTTAATATTAACGATTGCAACCTTTTCCAGAAAATTAGAATAATATGATTAATAATTATTTATATTATGATAAGAATGTTTACCACAAGGGAGAAATATCCTGTCCCGACCACGCTAGAAAGAGTGACGTATTTTTTTTCTTCATCTCAGAAATATTTTTTTCTCGAATGGTTAATACTAAGAGAAACCGTGTCGCACACAAACACTTTATTTTAAACAATTTTCTTTAATTTTTTGTTTATATTCAAAGAAGTTCTCAAGGTTATTGTCTAGTGACGACAGCTCCCCCTTAGTTAGATTCTAAATATCTCAGACTACTTCAACTTTCTGACAAATTTTGCTTTTGGAGGAAAAAAAGCTGACTGCTTTTTGGGGAAAAAAGGCTTAATCGAAGACCCTTAAAATATTTTAGGCAAATAGAAAACAATGCGAATTGATTTGATTTATTTTACGACACTTATTTTTACTTGTTTGTGCTCAGATACTGAAATAGTCGCATTATTTTAAACTTGAATATCCAGGAGAAGTCCCTTCGACATTACGACAATACTCTCGTAGGAATCAGCGGCAAATCTCCATCAGAAAAGAGAACTATTATAAGAGGCATTAGAGAACTTTGCACATAACAGATTGGCTACCTCATTATAACTTCAAATGTTATAGGAAGCTCCAACCGGGTTTTGGCAAAATCCTTCTGATAAATCTCAGTTGCTGTCCTATGGTAGTAAAGTTTGTAATAACACAAAGAGTGGCTTCATCTAGTGATATATTTTCTAATTCATTTCCATAGTGCAATGAATTGTTTTTAAGCAAAACAACAACACATTTTTCTTCCCATGTTTCAAGTGCTCCCAAAACACTTGCAGTGAGGGAAGACACTTTTATCGTTTTAACTGAGTTATGTCAATGTAGAAGATATGAGAAATGCTGTCCCCCGCGTGGTCGGAGGTTCTAAGCAGTACATGGAATTCGCTGAGGAAAAATGGCAGTTTTGTAAAAAACCGTCGATACAAAACCGCATTAAAATGGCGCTGTTTGTGTGCAAATTACCTTTCCCCACCAGAAGTACATCAAAATTAAGACGAAAAACACAAATGTTCGCAGATCACGATACAGGGAAAATAGCAGCTGCACATGCAACTGCTACGCGCTACATGCAACTCTTATTACGCTGCAACACCATGGAGGTTCGCCCCTTCTCCCAGTACAAAAGTACGGGTTGTCAGGCACATACGAAGTTCGATTACAATACGAAGTTGTTTTTACGTTTAAAACAATAATTTCAAAAGCGAGGAAAATTCGCAACACACTCTAATCGTGAAAAATGCACATCAATGGTGGTGATATCTTGCGAAGTGTTCAGTTGACACCAGGGCACTTTATCCTCGAGTATGAGATACTCATCACCCATCGCGGAGCAACTCACACACAGTAATTTATCTCCAAAAGATATTGCAATCAATGAGGTTTTTTTTGGGGGGGGGACGGATGTATTGGTTGATCAAAAATCCCATGCCATTACGTATTATATTTTTACAGAAGATATTACGGACAATGTAGGAAACCAAGCACTTCATGTTCAAAGCATTGAATGAAGTTTGTTCAGAACATGGATACTCAAACATAATATTTTAACAAGCAACGTTGCATCAGAACTTAAAAAGATCAGCGCGCTAAGTCGTGTTACCCATAAAAACTATTAGGCGCCCTTCTGTGCAGGCAAACGTCCATTTAAGGACGCATTGTAAATGTCCGATCAAAGGAGCAAAGGTGATGCCTCCTCGCGAGATAGTTCGTGATCAATCCCTGAGCGTCAGTCCCATCCATTAGATTGTGAACAGAAAACGGCTTCTGGTCAGACCTGGGCTTCCGGTGCAAGATGTTTTTCAGGAGACGTCGCCTCGCACCCGCAACTTCTCCTCCGTCTCCCCTTCGCATTCTCTTACGCCTTCGCTTAAGCCTTCGCCTCAGCCTTCGTCTTCGCCTTCACCACTCCTTCTACCTCCGCTTCGGTCTTCGCCTCCCTTTCGCGTCCCGGCCTTCTCCTTTGCCTTCATCTCCGCATCCGCCTCTCCCTCTACCTCCACTTCGGTCTTCGCCTCCGTCTCGAGCACCGCCTTCACCTTCGCCTTTGCCTCGACCCACGCCTTTGTCTTGTCCTTGGCCTCCGCCTCCGCGTTCACCTCCGTCGTCGTCACCGCCTCGTCTTCACCTTCGCGTCCGCCCCGCCTCCGCCTTTGTCTCGGCCTCCGCTTTTGCCTCAGCCTTCGCCTTCGCCTCCACTTCAGTCTCAGCCTTTGCAGCTACATCCGCCCCCCGACTCGCACCACAGCCTTCGCCTCCGCCTCCACCTTCGCCTCCGCCTCCAACTCCGACTCGCACCCCAGCCTTCGCCTTCACCTTCGTCTTCGCCTCCGCATTGGCCTCCGTCTTCCGCCTCCACCTCTCCCTCTGCCTCCGCTTCGGTCTTTGTCTCCGCCTCTCGCCCTGGCCTTCACCTTGCCTTCATCTCCACCTCGGCCTTCACCTTCGCGTCCGCCTCCGCCTTTGCCTCGGCATCCGCTTTCGCCTCCGCCTTCGCCTTAGCCGTTGTCTTCACCTTCGCCTCCACCATCGAACCCGCCTGCGCCTCGCGCCACAACATTTGCCTCCGCCTCCACCTCCACCTCGGCCTTCGCCTTCACCTCCAAGTTCGCCTCCACCTCCACCATCGCCTCCGCCTCCGCCTTCGCATTCGCTTTCACCTTCACCTCCCGCAGCCCAGCGCGAGCGCAGCGCGAGAACAACGCTGGGCCTGCGGCACAGGGCGCGCATTTGCTCTACGCGCGCGGCGGACGCCGCTTGTTTGAACGGTGCGTAAACGGAGCAGGCGCCGCGCTGCGCCGCGAGCAGTCTGGGCCCCACGGCCCCTGAAACGCTGGCTTCCGGGGCTAAAGGCGCAGAAGGCCCTTCACTGTACCTCTACAGAAGCTAACATCAACATCACATGGAGATGCGAAACAACCTTCAATGCCTCTCGCAGATGGAACCATGTTTTTTTCTAAATTTTCTGTCTTCACTTAACGTCAAAAACAATACAACATGTACGTAACTTACAGGAGGACAGTACAAACTGAGCATGTACTGTCTCCTTGGGCTTCAGAATTCTTAACCTTTTTCTTAATATACGTTGTTAAATTATTGATAAAGTAACAAGGAACGTGGTTATCAACAAAATTATTGAAAGCAACACATTTCCGCTCCTTTGCAATAGAAATTAGACAATCGAAAAATGTATATGAAGAAACTGCTATATGTGTAATATGTATAATACTGTATGTTTTTGATGTTGAATCATTGGATAATATTGGTGACATTAACAGCCATCACTTCTCTCGTACCTAGAATAGTAAAATGAAAGCCCAAAAAACGTGAGCCGATAGGGAAGCTACACTACAGACCAAAACCAAAGAAAGGGCCCATTTTAGCATGGTTCAATGAATCAAGGATAATTAGTTGAAAATCCTGAGCGATATGGGATCATTGACTCTTGATGATGAGTTCAATACTTTTGTTAAAGACATTCATTATTTGGCGGTTCCAAAAAAGACCAGATCGCTTGAGTTGCCATCTTAGACTGCGGGACTTTGCATTCTATTGATTTTGGATGTATACCTTTGTGCCATGTGAGCACTGGCATAGACTTTATACCCTTAATCTAATTTTCCCTAGCCTGTTCGGGTGACCAATGGGCATAATATTGTATGCATGTACCGTTGTACCTGGTCAGTCCTTATGCTTGTCTTGCGGTAACAGAATGTGACCGTTGACGCCAGGAGTAAGGGTCCTGCCGGCCACACCCCAAACCGATAGAGGCCCCCGATCTTCACATGTAAGGTATAGCAAGAACACTCCGAGTGTAGAATCTCACACTGTGCCTCCCCCTCTCTGCCCATAGCAGCACCGCGGGGCGCAAAAACGTCCCAGGCGGAGCGCGTCCCCGCCCCCGTCCCGGCGCGGGAGATTTATCGGCAGCCCCTCCCCCGCGCGCCCCACCGCCCCGCCCGCCGTCCGCGATGAAGAATACGCCACATGCATCGGGAGGGTCAGCGCGGGAGATGCACGCGCAGCCTAAACAATTTTTTTGTGCGCCCACCCCGCAGGGAGGCCGACGCGACGCGACCGCCGACGCGACCCGACCCGACGCGACGCACGCCACGGGACACATTCCAGAGGCCCCCGCGGCGCCGGCCCAGCGCCAACTCCTGCAGCAACCAGACGCGGGCGGGGCGTGTGGCCGACATAAGAGGTGGTGGGGCGCGGCCGCCCGGCGCCGCGGCGCGCGCGGCCGCTGGCGCCGTGGTTGAGAGGAGTGCGGGCGGCACGACACGGCGGAGGGTGACATTGCGGGGGCGGGGCGCGCGCGGCGGTGAGGGGCGGCGCCGGGCGGGAAGGCGAGGCGGGAGGCGGGAGGCGGGAGGCGGGGAAGGGCGGGGCGGGCGGGCGGGAGGCGGAGGGCTGGAGGGCGGGAGGGCGGGAGATCGGCAGGAGGGAGCGGGCCGATGGGGGGTGGAGGGCGTTCAAGTGGGGCGGGGAGCGGGACGACAAGGGCGCGGCGGCGAACAAGTGGCGGGCGGTAGGTGCGGAGGCGGGGCGGTGGCGCGGCGGGCGAATGCCTGCGCAAACAGAGGTCTCCGAGTCGCCACCACAATGAGGCGGAAAAACAACCAAAGGAACGGCTCGGAAAAATAACACCTCGCAGGGGGCGACGGGCTAAGGAGGACAAGATGGGGAGGCGGAATGCGCAGTAATCGCCGTCGTTTTCCTAAGGGATGTCAAAACATCCATCGAAAGGTCGCGACATCATTTTATACAATCTCATGTAATTACTTAAAATGGTAGACATGGCGCGACATAATGTATTTCTAAGGGAGTGTTATGTAGAGTACCTCGCAATTTTTACAACTCGCAATTTGTTGTTGTTATGATCTCATCTTACGTTGATTCAATTCAAACTTATTTCCATCAAACTCATTATTTCTTATGTAACCACGAGTTTTTTCCCGACTCGTCACTCCCAAAAGTGTAGACACATCTCCTGCCCCCTCTTCATCACTTGGAAAGGGAGAGATGTTACGAAGAACTCACGAACAAAGATAAATTAAACGTGGATTACAAGTAATATCGTAAGGCCGAGGAAAACTTGGTCTGAAAATTGTATGATACATTGCTGTTCACGGCGTAGAGTCAAGAGTGAAACGTCGGAATGAGTGAGGGATGACGGAGCTCTATGAATAACCGAGGAGGTAGGAATATTGCGAGGAGATGAATGGGAGGGAGGAAGAGGGTCCGACGCGTGGGTGGCCGAGCCCCAGGGGGTGGAGCCTTCGCAAACACCGCACCCCTGCGCCCTGCGCCGGAGAGTGTGGGCGGAGCAGCCGCAGGCGACGCGACAGCGGCGGCCAGAAAGCGCGCACTTGCAGCCTCCGCGTGTCAAAATTGGCGTTGAATATTAATGCGCCATCACACAGCAATTCACGCGCACAACAGCCGGCCCTTCAGCCTTTTCTAAGAGGCAACATTAGATCGTGGAAATGCTCTAGAAAAAATAAATAATAGAAACACTCTTCTGAGGTTTGCTATGACAAGTACAGATATGAAGTACACATAGAAGAATGTATTTCCAGAACGTTTTATGTGTATTTTAATGAGAAGAATTATACTCTTCTTGTTTGTCAATCTTTCTGAAAATCATTATTCTCATTTTTCAATCTTTAAAAATTTCGAGCTTTCAAAAATCAAATTTGTCGTAAAATAAAATGAGTATTATTCGGGAAATTTCATTAAAAACCGATCGCAAGATTATACCATTTAAGTATTATTAGCAGTTTCCGTTATATTTTCATTTCCTTCTTCGGGTTTACAGTGAACAATGACCAAAACTAGATTTTTCTGAAAATTACCGTTTTTATTACCGCATTCCAGGATATTCTGATGTCCTAATGACTTTCATACATACGTGTAAGTTTCTAACTCTGGCTTCAAGTCGTTATTATGAAAACCTGAATAATTGCCCAATTATTGATCACAGTTAACTTCCATGTTCCCTTTCAAACACTTGAATTGAGTTTTATTTATACGGAAAATTATTATAATTGTAGAGCAATTATGTATGAAATAATTATGTATGTAATAAATTATGTATGTAATAACTAACGATTTCAAATTCAAATAGATTTATCCCAACATTTTTATGCTTTAAATGTGACACTATTTCATAAACATTTGCAGTTAGAAAAAGCATTTTATTTCTATCTATTAGCCCCTTAATTCCGTTTTAACATTGAAGTTTTGATAAGCGTCTGCCAATCAACACAAAGATAAACACCTGAAAATATTTCACTACGAATGTGAAACCCTTGTTTTCATCAACATTTTAGTCAACAAAATACAATAAACAGCATATGATTCCTACTTTCTCAACGAGTGCTGGATACCGTTAATCTTCGATAAGATAAATGAGTAGGCGGAGTTCGACCTTGCAGAGCCCTCTTTCGGGCATATCACCTTATCACACCCTCTTTTGGAATGCGATTTTAAAAGTGATTGTACTAATTCGTTAAATATTTTATGTAAAAAAACATATTTATAAAGCACCTACAAATTATATTTGAGTGCAGTGACACTATTTTTATTTCTTAGTAATAATAGCTTACATGAAATGCTGTTGTTAGACCGACAACGACTTGTAACGCTGTTCTCTCGCGGGAAATTGGATACACTATCATCTTTTTAGAAGATTATCTTATTTATTTTTAATACTCTTCATATGTTACACACTTTGCTTTGTAGTCACACGAATTATTTATTAGGCAGTACTAGTCAGTAGTTCATTAAGCAAAGAAAAAGTAAGCAGTAGATGGAGCTCAATGCGTATTTGTGCGCAATTCCTATTTTTATTGAATTCTCTCTTGTGTACACATCGTCATGGTAACACCCTCAAAACTATGAAAATATGGCCGTTTGCACCCAAACAATCTGGGTTTCTAACGAGCCCCAAGATGCGTATAACTACCGTTCAAGTGCTCACACTGGATAAAATTATTATGCCATGATACTGGTGAACTTCTGCAGGTATGTTCTTAAAATAATATTGTGTGCATTTTTTGCTTATAAATTATTGATATTTAAACGCAGAGGGAGTTTTCGAAATAACTCGTAACTATTTTATCGAAACAGGTCATGTACCTAGCAAGTCTGCCGGATATCCTATTCTACTATTTCAAATTATGTTCTAGAGGTGCAAAACAATTCAGTGGTGAGTTAAACCATGAAAATACTTATTTTTCTACGACGAGAAAATGTATATATTATACGCATTATATTCGTTGCACAGTAAAAATCTAATTATGTTTATATTCACATTAGAACGGCTGTAAAAGAAGGGCCACTCTCGATTTGATTTATAAAATTTCAAGATAGTTCGATAATAATGTGCCCTGAAGATTCGTGATGATAACCCTGACTGACAAGCGATTATTTAAAATAATGGTTTTACCACTAACTTCTGTCATTAGCACTGCGTCATTAATTTCTTTGCACTATTTCAAACATCTTTCTAACTTTAACCGTCTCCCTAATGTTAACCCCAAATTTATTTTCTAATGTAAATACAGCTTGAATCAATTATAATATGATTAGTACGATGGACATCACCGATTATCGAAATTCTACGCACTGCTCGAAGCACTGATCTTTTGATAATGAAAGCAAGCAATAGTTGAGAATTGGTAGAATAGAAGAGCAATCTATGATTTATCACTGTAATGATACAGTTAACTTTCATTTTATTGATAATACTGCTTTTTGGGTATTTCTAATTTAATCATCAATTTTAATAAAAATCTATATCTTATCCGGTAACGTTTATGAATTTCTTACTGGATTCAATTCAAAATGGTTATCTTTAATAAAAGTCAAAAAGGATCCATTGAAACGAGTCAAATGTTGATGAAACAAACGTTACTAATGCAACCATAAGCATAAAGTTAAAATACGAGATGTACTAGATATCGAAAGCAAATAATTTTCCTTTTGTCTTTGCAGTCACTCAAAAGCGCTCGCATCACCAGACCTCACGCGGACTTTCAGCTCAGTAGCAACGCGAGAGATATCAGCCCCCACCACCTCGGAAGAAGCGAATTGCCAGGTGGTGGCGGCGACAGGCGCGCGCGCGGCGGAGACAACAGGGCGGCAGATCGCCCAGAGGGCGTCGAGGGCGATGGCGCCCACTCGGGGGCGATGGGCGCCCAGGGCGTGACGGCCCGCGCCCGTGCACCGCCCACCGGCTTCTCTGCTCCTTGTCACTCACGACCTCTCTCAGCCAGCAACGCTTCGTTCAAGAGAAGAAAGGACATCCACGATGTGCCGCTATCAGGTACACACACCTTCATATTCGCAGTCCTCGCCTTCACGGCTCTGTTTCTTTCGTATCCCCAAACTCAAAGGGCCTTTCGTCCGCGGAGTGTACGCGTGTGCGGAGTGCGAGTGTTACGTGTGGAAGGAAGCGATCAATGAACTGCAAGAAGAGGAAACAATCGATTTCACGGGATGCGAGCCGATGACAAATGTAGAAAACATATGCTATCGATGTATCGATGCCGAAACGACCAGGGAACAAACGAAGACCGGAGGTCTGTTCTCGTTGACGACGCGACGTAACTGGATTTTGTAGATGTGAGGAGAACTAATCAGAAGATAATTTTCTCCTCGTTGAACACGACGACATGGAACGGCGGGCGAGAATGATGTACATGCTTTACCCCAGACCTGCCAAGAGGAGGAAACCACAAATGTACGTAATGCACGAGTCGAGCTCAGCTAACGGACATGTTACGCGCGTACGCTCCTGAAGTAATGTGATTTATACGGAAGCATCATCGGATACCAGCCGTCACATTTACAAGGAAATTCTCCAATACGCAAAATCCAGATTAAAGGTCATCCGAAGAAGAGGCATTTCTTGTTTTGTCATGTGGGAAGGACTTCTTACCCCAAACATCAAATGGGAACTGCACTAACCTCAAACACATTCCTTGATCTAGTATGTCGTTCTTCTAGGCGTAAAAAATACGTAGCGCTTTTTAGAATATCAAAGATAATAATTTCATAATTATATTTGCAGTATAACCACTTATTTTATTGTAATAACGTTATTGACAATATTCATATTCTATGAAACAGTACTTTTAGCCTTCTTACGCGTTACGCCAGTTTTACATTAAGTTTTTATTTAATATATTCTCAGTTAAACGCAACTTAATAAACAAAAAGAAAGAAAATAATGTACCTCAGAGTCGATTACGAAAGTAATTTCTGTTGTTCTTTCGTAACACCACCTTCAATTATTACGCATTGATTTAGTTCTACGTAAGATTATCTACAAACATAATCAATAACAAAGAGTTTTATGTAAATCCCAAGGAAACAGTACACTCGAGTTTACTTATTCATTGTTAATAAGGTGACGATCACTTGAATCGTTTCGCTTTAAGCCGTTCATTTGTTTCGGACTATTATGAAATGAATATTATAATAGATTACAAAATCGCACTGCGAAGAAAACAAGATTGCAAACGACACACTATGAAACTAAAGCAGATTCGAAAAAAATACCTTCATTTAATGTCAAAAACGGCTGTGAAATGTGCTACCAAAAATACAGGGGTGAGTTGTCTTATAATTATGAATTATTAAAATATACTGCTTTAGCAAATAACTATGCTTTAATGCCTGTTTCATACTTTCACCGAAATATTTTGTTTATTAAATTCAATAATCTCATCAATGTATCCCTCCTTCCTTTTTTCTTTCCTTCACATTCTTGTGTTCATACATATTCGTTTAAGCTCTACATCTCACTGAAACAAAACAATCATTTTTCTGACCAAAATTATGAGCAAAATATACAATCTTTTAAATATATTTTTATTAACTTGTCATTTAAAGTTTGCCTACATTTAAGACAACGTGAAGGAGATATGTCTTCTAATCGGGAAAATTTGGGTTCCGAGAGTTTAATTTTTAAGTAGTGTTTCTTTTAAAAGTACAGAAATATAATTAAAGTTGAACATTAATTATTTGAGTGAAATAGTAATTCCAAAAAGGTGAAGAGTTCTATCGTTTCCCGATTTTAAATATTAATTTATTACGCATTGCAATACACAACACTGACCATTGGTACAATTTACCTGAAGTGTTATTTAAACCCTCATGTTATTTTGAAAAATGTTTCAGCTATTACGACAGATTGGAGGCTTTAGAACGGATTCGTCGAAAGCTCTTGGACCGAATAGAGGAGAATGCATACTCAACGTCGAGACAGACATCAATTGGCGAAAATCGAACGTTCACAAATCTCGTATACCATAAACAGTAAGTTTTTCACTACACGCACATTCATCGCCATTTGTACAACAAATACGCTGTGATTTCGTAAGAGGATGCTTCTGTTTCCGTCTCCTTGGTAAAATGGACCTATAACCCGGGATAAGATTTTAATCTTCATTTGTTCAAAACAATATTTCAACAGTTTCATAACTTATCTCGTGTCTATGATATTGTAAATGATTTTTATATCACGTTGATGGTTTATTATCCAGTTTCCATTTGAGGAATTGTTATAGAATTCTACTGGATAAGGTACATTAATATATTTTCTGTAGCTATAATTCTGAAATGAATTATTACCAACACATTTGTAGACACTTTGTAGTACAGCGATCTTAACAATTTCTAGGTTATTAACACGAACGAAATATTCTTCGCTTTATTATTGTTAATGAATTGATAAATGCAGATCTTTTAGCTCATTAAAATCAGTTCAGCATTTTGTACTGATGCATTTCTGCACTTGGTACATTTATAACAACCAGACAGAATCCTGTATTAACGGAAGATAATTATTTTGTTCAAATTTCATAAAAAGTAATAAGGTAAAACTTAATGTAATGTGAGAATGAGAAACACATAATATATTTGAATTGTGTATGTATATATGACATTTTCTTGAAACTTAAGAATTAACTTCTAGTTTTTGCAAGATTTTACGTAAGTTTGCTTAAGTTTGCATTTCAATTCATTCCTGATAATTATCTTTAAAGAATCATGCTGATAAAAAATATATTCGATATATAAAAATAATTAGTCAAAACAAGTCTTATCTTCTCAACGGGACACTTGTGGAATGAATGTAACCTATTGGACTGTTCCAAGTTAGTATTCGGACATTTTCAACATTTAAACAAAGAAAAAGTTTTAAGTCACATTATACGAAAATAAAAGAACCATGTTTAATAATTGTATGTATTTATAAAAAAGTAGATATTAGTTTTTGTCTTGTTACCAACTCTTGCTCTTTAAGATATGGTGTAGAGTATAAAAAGTTATCGTTCGTTAGTATAAGGACGTGGAAATGGTTTAATGAAATGAAATTTTTTTTTGGAAATCATCTCGCTGGGATATTTTATTACCATATTTAATGTAGAAGAAGCCGTGGCCAACAATTTACTTTCTAATTATGATCCTTTAAGGGTAACATTGTAAACACATTACTATTTCATAACTATACACTAACCACAAAGTTTACACAATACATTCAAATTTTAAAAAAATATCGTTATAGATTAGTTATTGTCATTTTCGAATCACCTCTTCAATTTTTAAGCAAACAATACAAAACACGCATGAGGTATTAATTTTACTATTAAAAATGAATAGTGGTTTGTTCAAAATATATGCACATTTGTACAATCTTTGTGAAAGTGAAATCATTTCTTGGAAATTTCGACCAGAGATAGACACATTCTTGTTGGCGTTCAATTATAGTCTTAGTTTGATAGCATGTTTTGGTGTATACGGTTGGTCTGTCGAAGGTTAAATTATTTTATTTTACATAAAATCTAAATGTCATTGTATATTCTCATTTATTAATTATAAGTTTCCTATTGCCCCCAAGTTACCTATTTTCCTCATACTTTTTCATCAGGAAGACCAGCTTTGTTTCCGCAGTTATGAAAGGTAGTTCATAGGTATATAAGATTATTCATATTTCATTTATTGTGTGACATTCGGTGTACTATGATTTGGAAAGCTGATGAAAGTTATTACATTGTTTATTATTTCATCAACTCATTCCACTCATTTTATTATTAGGCATTGCACTTACTTTATTAAATTGAGTATCTTCAAGTTAGTTGTAGTCAGTGAAACAGCTTTCACTGAAGTACAAGTTAAGTACAAATCATAAAAAATAAAATAATTTGACTCGAAATACAATTAAATGCCTGGGTAAAAATTAATTAAATTCGCTTTCTAAGAGTGATAAGAAAGTCATTAAGAACGGAATTATTTTATTAGAAGGGGAATGTGAATAGATGTATTTCAAAGTTTTGCTACTTTTAATTCGATGATATTGCATACAGAAGCTCACATTATCGTGTGCGCGATTTCTAAAACGTGACAATTTCTTACGTAGAGTGATATCGCGAATAAAGTTTCTGGTCTGGATGAAATGTCTGGAACAGCAGCACTAACATGATCGGCAAGCAAATGATGTGTTCATGTTGCACGTCATGACAGTTTAATGGCATATACTGGAAAACATTTATACGAGTATAAACCAAAAGTAATTCTGTTTTAAGTGAAAAAAATGACAAGAACACAGCTTCGATAAAAATTCAGAAACGACGGAAATGGGAAGGTACTCTTTTATGAAAAAATATTGAACAGAGGCCAACGAAAGGTCAACGACACTTTTAGTAGCCAATACTAAATAACAAAAAATGAGAGAAAAAACGTAGCACGTAGCAGTATCGTTTAAACTATTTTCTGTAAATTACTTCTTTTTACGCCGCATGTGTATACTTCAATGATTAATTTCAATGTATTGTGGGAATTCTTCTTCATTCACAATTTCGATGTGCAAGGCGAAGTAACGGGCACAGCCATAGAACAGAGTAGACAGATCGATCTCGATGAATCGAATTGACAGACAGTTCGACGCAGTTTTAGAGTAGTAATTACTGAGCAATATCCAAATCTATTTCGACCCACTAATCTGGAAATACGGGCGATCAATATCGCGAATACAATCACAACGCGCGCAGTAGTTTCACACTTGTATCTTTGCCCACAGCGTGCATGAGAGTGGATGCATGGAAACTGCGTCCTCAAGAGTGACGTTAAAGAGGCGTGCAGACGAAAGAAAACGGAATGTACGTCATAAGGATGGCAAATGTTACATTAAGGGTGAGATGTTTCCAGCAGAGGCGACGTTAGGAACCGAGGCTGGAATTTCCAACGAGTACTGTAACATTTCCACCCGTGTGTCGTAACTCGTTATGAAACCACGTACCACGTTAATAGACATTCTGAATATTCACGTCTGTGAAACAATTGCAATATTCTGAAAATTTTAAATAGGAATTTAAAGATAAAGAAATGCTTCGGAAATCGATAACAGATTAATCGAATGAAGGAAATGAATAATTAATAGCCAAAAATCAGAAGAAAGATATTAGAAAAAAAATGAAAATGTTGTTACTGGAAAAATACAAATAACAATAACATGGTTAATGAGGATGTTATGTTGGGTTACTTATCTGACTCCATTTTTCCATTTTTGTCATCAAACGGTACTGTTATCCAATTTTTTTCGTAAATGAACATAAGTTTATTTCTCATTATTATGATCGTTGGCACTGACTATGTATTTATAAAACAAATCAAAGACGTTGGTACAAATTTCCGTGTTCAAAAGTTGTTATGAGATTTCATTACGGGACACTGTACCGAAAAGTCCCACTTTCGGGCCTGCTTTGAGGCACGTAAAGAACCAAAATGCGACATACTACGAAATAAAAGATGAGCATTGCATTAGTGATTTCCTTACGAATTGCAAGCGCCGATCTCTAGTCCCAAGACCAAAAGCCCGGCCACTGTCTATTTCTAGAGCCAAAGATGAGAGTTGTGATGGGAAGGTAGTGTAGTTCAGCGGACTCGCGCGTCCGATCACTACCTGCGCGCGCCGCGCCGCCACCAGGAACCGAGATCGTAAGTCGGGCGGCCGTCACTCACGCCAGCCTTCCCGCCGCCGCCGGCGAGTGAGACATACACAGGCGAGCCGCGCGCCGCCATTAGCCTGTCTAATCGCAGGACAGGGGGCGCTCGTGTTTACACAAATCACGTGTCCTCCCGTCCCGTCCCGTCCCTTCCCGTCCTGTCCCCCTCGAGGGATGGCCTCTGAATAAATTCCGGAGGGACGCGGAGGGTTCGAAGCACCGCCCCTGCGGCCGCCGCCAGACCCCCGGGGAGCACGGGGGGGGGGGCGAGGGGCCGACTCTTTCCTTTGTCAGTTTTGTGACCACTCGTACATCATCTCGAGAGACGCCAGGGACAACAAGAGAAACTGACACCGGCCCGGGTCCTGCATCTGGCAGCTCATAATGATGTTCCGTGTCCAAGAATTAAAAGTGCCTTTCCATCACAGCGCCTCCTACCTTCTATCAGATGAAGCAGAAGAAAAGCGGCCGGAAAGTCACGAGGCTCATGGGGCGCCCCCACTCCCCACTCACCTTACAAGCGCAGATTCGAGAATACCTCCATTACCTAATTGTATTTTTTATTTATTTATTTAACGTCAAAACGTCAAAAACAGTTGAAGACTGTGCAGGACGTTTTATGGGGAGAAGTGTATTCTGTAAACATTTTCTTAAAATCTCGGATCCTTACCCTCACCCATACACAAGTGAAAATATCATGAATACAGGTAGAAAGAGCGGTTGTGGCGAGAATTGCCAAAACTATATTCGCTTCTGTGTAATAAGTATTTGAATAGGGCAAATTAGCTACAGATTTGCGCTGCGCGGCTCAACGTGTCCTTCGTGAAAGAATTGACTTTCTTCCGCGAGACCATAGGGAACGATAATTTTAATATTGGCCACTGAACTCTAGAAAACATGCACAGATATAGTTAAATCATTGATGGATTTTCCAGTGTCGCGCATTTTGTTAGTAGAAAACCGCTAGTGTGTTTCTACTTTGACGAGGTAAATAGTTTTTGTATAGGCAAACTGCGATTTCGTTTACCGAAGACGTTCTCCTTGTTGTAGCAAAGAATTCAATACTAGTACGGAACAAAGCACGACACAATACTTACGATTTTGGAAACCTGAAATATCTTTTTCTGGCAACAATAAATTCCTAGAATAAGCAGTAGTTAGAACATTCCCATGTCTTACTTTCCTTCGTTCGTTTGGCTAACGCAGCTAACACATTTTGTGGGTTGACATTCTATGTTGAAGACCAATGAGGCTTTCCAAATTCTCCCTACTAATGTGAATGACGTTGCGGCAGGGAGGAGAAGATCATCCTGACGCCCACGGTGACGCCGGCGCCGGCGCAAATGGTGGGCGGGGCCGCGGGCGGGGGCGCGCGCCCCCTCAAGCCCTGCAGCGCTGTTGCCGACGCGGACACCGATGCCGAGGCGCGCAAGTAAGTCAACTCCTTAACACTAATAGTAATATTAAAAGTAGTAATAATAATAACAATGATAATAATCAGAATATTAATACTAGCTCTGAAAGTGGGGAGAACAATTCACAGAAGGCTAATGTCTAATAGGGATGCAATATCAAAGTCGATGTTTTCATGTATTACACCGATCTTTTTAACATCGATGTTTGGTGATCGATGTTTTCCCGTTTCCGATGTTTAATTTCTGAATGAAAAATTTCCGTGATCACAATACTGTAAAAGTTAAAATATGATATAATAACTGATAGCAACACATCATTCATGTGTTGAAACCAATAGAACGCTGTTTGCACAACATTCATCGGCTAAACTCTTTCACCTGAGATATTCTTCATGCCCATGGACTATTTCCTCTTTCCTCATATTCATGTCGCACATTGAGGTATATACCTTCATTTCGTACCATTATTTGGCAAAAATTGAACACGAACACTGTCAAATTAAATTTGAATGCACACGAATTTAATGTCAGAGGCGTCCAATCCAGTCTAAAAACCATGATATTGAAAAACATCAATGATTTTTAATGGATATAGTTTTAACATCTATGTTTAATTGTGAACATCAATGTTTGCTAACATCGATGTGTGGTTATCGATGTCGCATCACTAATATCTAAAAGAGTAACTGCTGTCTCAGGGCATCAACTGATGTCACTGCAGTGCCTCTTATCGGCGGGTCTTATGTTCGAGTCCCGACGGTGGTAGGTTTTTCAAGACTAACTACATAGATACGTTGACTTGAAGCGCTGTCTCAAGGAGAATTCTAACGGCCGGCTGCGGTGATCGGAAGTTTTACGTGGTAATGACGGAGCAGTACCCTAATAAACGGGCCACGGACGGTGCGCCTTCTTTCCTTCCTCTTCCTTGACATAAACTGATTCCTTACTTACACACGCTTACACTTACATGCACAACATTAACACATGCCGGGAGATCGGTCGGGAACTCAGAGCTTGTTCCGACTGGGGCGATGCCTCGCTGGTGGGAGATATCAGTTTGAAGGGAAATAGTGGTAGCCGAGGTAGGTCGGCGGCGAATATAACTATGCTGCGAGAAAAGACCAACACCGCCTAAAGAGGAAAACAGATGCAATACACTTACGGGATTAATGACCTTAGTTGAAGCGCCTGGAATCACTAATCAATCAAAAGATCGAAAGAAGTTCACACCTTTGAAACCCTAAGCAGGTGGTTTCTGCAATACGTAATTGTACAAAGGACGACATAATAATAATAATAATAATAATAATAATAATAATAATAATCATAATAATGCCATTTGGGGTCTCTAGGTCATCTTGAGATCAGTTGGACCAGTTAACCTGGCCATTCTGGTCTTCGTTGGAAAAACTTGCGGTAGTTTGAGCTGCTACCAAGCATTGAAATGATGTGTTGCCACGTTGTATATGTTGTTTGCTAATCATTAGAATTGAACGGAATAAACTAACGTGTGCTGCTCAATGAACATGTGAAATCCGTCTATGGATGGTGGAAAGAGCTAACATTTTACTCCAAAAAGTAGTTCATTACGATGCAGTTTATTTTACGTGATGTGTATCTACACCATGTCACCATCGGCATCACTTCCTCTCCGAAAAGAGAAGATGTTACTTTCATTCGCTATTCTCCCTAAAATCTTGGATATAGATGGAGACTGGAAGGGATGATGTAGTGATGAAGCCAACTGTTCTTGTTCGAACTGTTGATTTTTAATAACTTTTATGTTTTGGTCAATTGTTGACGCATTGATGATGTCTGTTGATTGTATGATGTTTTGCCCACAACATCTGAGGTAATTATCGCCTTGAAGGACTCTTTCAAACCATGATGGAAATTTGGGGCGGAATACCCTCGCTCAGGCCATTTACGAAAAAAAGAAGAAGAATGGGATACTGTCCTTCTTTTGGTAATTATATGACGTTTTATTTGAGTTCTACTGCTGAGGAAAGAAGACACATCCTTTCTCTATGGTTGAACGCTCACAATATCGGAAAGGGCTTCTGAGTGCGTGAGCTGCGAGGAGGGCAGAGGGCGTGGCAATCCAGCCAGCGGTCGCTCCGACGCCGGGCGTTGTTTGCGACAATGGGCGGCGTGGGCCGGGCGACGGGCCGGCGGCGCGCGCGGGAGACAATGAGGCGCCGGCGCCCGGAGACGAGCCACTCATCGCCAGGTGTCTGACCGCGACGCACGTGCCACGTCCAACCGCCACTGCGAGCTCTCATTGCCAGCCTCCAAGCCGCCCAACGCGACTGCCTGCGAAGGGAGCTTGCACGCCGCTGGCAGACACCGCGCTGCGCTGCGCAGCGCTGCTGGGGCTCATGCTCGCCGACGGCGACTGGAGCGCCCGCGAGCGCGACATGGAGCGCGACAGAGAGCGGGATTGCGACCGGGAGAGGGAGAGGGAGCGCGAGTGCTGTCTGACGCTGGGGCGCTCGCCGCGCAGGATACACGCGGCGGCCGCCGCCGCTGCAGCCGCCGCCGCCGCGCACTGCGAGCGCGCCCGGGCGTTGCGCCGTCTGCAGGCGAGTCTAGCAGCTAACGAGTCTCTTCCGGTAATTCCAAGATTTTCCAATTCGCTGGTTTCGGCGGTATAACCGTTAGCGTTTATAGATGTACCCAAGTATGCGGATTCAAAGTCGATCGAAGACGTGGATGGACGAGAAATTTCTTCATATGCCTTCCTTCGGAAGATAAGTCAAGCTCGCTGTCACATGTAAAGGACCCTCAAGCCAAAAATAAGGCTCTGAACCAAATTTAAAATCACTTGTTTCGTCACCCGAGTGATACCTTCTTTCTCCGCTAGATGGTGAAAAGAGCGTAGGGAAACCTGCGTGGTCAGACGGAAAAACAGGCCATGACCTGAGTCTCGACACGTAAAATGAGGCATCATTGAACTGAATGGAAAATTGCAAGTGCCTACGTCGTTGGCTTGTTTGTTAAATGATGTATTAGTAAGAGGTAACGGAGGCTGTGTTTTGATTCCTTCATTCTGTTTGACGTGTTGAACGATTCGTAAATGATTCCTTCGAGGATATTTTTCCCTAAACAACGATTTTACATTCGACAGGACTTTGCAGAGCAGTCGAGGACAATTCGTTGACCATTTGTGCGATGCGTTCTGAGAGAGGAGGTGCGCGTGCGGCGCAGGCGGAGCGCGGTCGGCGACCGGTCGGGCGCACGTCCCCATCCGC